GTACTTGAATCACGACCCCCACCCCCCTCGCTCATCTCAAGCACATTCTCGTTTATGGCCAATAGAAAAGAGTACTTGTTAAACATCTTTCACAGATAAGAAAATACCCCCCCCCTCCACCCACCCACCAACTGAAATGAAAAGTGTGAGAATAGGAAATGTTATGTAGTAAAAAGGAAACGATTTATTCGTTTGTTTAAATATGCGGGACAATGTTAAATTAATTAGATTATTCCCCTGGAAGAAGCAGTACTTCGAGGCCTCTCTCTTGACATGCTTTAAATAATAACTCGCGTTATATTATTTGAGGGAGGTTTAAATCGACCGCTATCGAAGCAAAAGAAACTTAGAGCAGTCAAAGCAAGCAACCAAGCAATCAGTCATTTTGAATAAGCTGCTACAGGAACTCTGCCAACTTGACCTTTTAGCCCTCTCATCAAGCTGCTGAATAGCACATGAAAGACCATCTCGCTTTCCAAGCCAAACAAATAACAAGGCCTATCCTTCTTCATTGAAATATCGTCCAATAAGTACTGAACATCAACAAACGTTTATATTCTTCTCATTTAGCAAAACATTGAGCAGGCTGAATAAAAATAACTAAATGCAGCAAAACGTGTTAATATCTCAAGGTTGCTCTCTGCATCCTTTGACCCCTCTTCCCCACCCCCACCCCCCCCCCCCCCCCCCCTCTCAACTGTTATTCCATATCAGTTGCTTCCCGCTATTAAATTTGTGCCTTCTCTGTATTACCTAGAAAATTAGTGATAATAATCGCCCCAATAAGACGGAAAAGATGGAGGGGGGAGGGATAAGAGTTGGAGATATGAAAATAAATCAAGACAATCTTTAATGGAAGGATCGCCTGCCTCGAATTTTTTGATGACCGCAAATACCATTAAATCGTTTTTTTAGTAATAAAAATGTAGCGACTTTAATAGCAATGCCCCATAGTTAACTATTGTGGACACTAATCGTGAACATATTTTAAGCGACATTCCAAATAAGATGAATTTCAACCCTAATGTCTACCTTTAACTCTAACAATGGCTATAATAAAAGTAATTATAAAGTGCAATCGTTTTTTTTGCCTAATTTTTGAAAGGATCCCATTTGTAGAGAAAATAATCGTTCGCTTAAAGGAAGGAAATTGCGATGAATTTCGGTTTATTTAAATCGAAAAAAATGAGGCATTAAAAGAGCACCACCCATCCTTGCACTTGAATTCCAATTTATATCACTCTATTTCCAGATTTGTAATAATCCAGAAAATGTGATATAATTAAACAGGAAAGAAAAAAGCATTCTCATAAAAATTATCTCTCTACCTGGGGTGAGAGAACTTCCATTTATATATAGGAGCGCATCGAATAGCGCGATATATATATAAATAGCTTAAAATGTACTCTGTCAGAAATAAAAGATAGTGACTAGCCAAGACCAAGGCCCAATGGGGACTATTTACATTTCCCAAAAAAGGATACTTGATAGTTTGAATTAAAGGCAAAGCCAACAGCATTCTGCCGGTCAAAAAAGGACAATATATATTTTGCAAAAAAGGTAAACTTCTGACCGCATTAGGAATTCAAATTGAATTCCTATGTTTAATCAATAGTTGGAGTGAATATTAGTCCGAAACATAAATACTATATCATTAACTGATAATTCAAATGAATGAACTCATTCCAGATTCATGGAAGGACTTTTAATTCCACGGTGGACGAATAATTTTCTTGCGAATCATCGTGTTCAATAACAACACGTCTCCCCCCCCCCAATCCCCAGGAAATAATAACCCGTGTATTCATTAAAGATAATGGGTCATTCAGGTACATGATTAAACAACAATGAGTCAGTGTAATAAATTGTCAATTCATTAAGCGGGACTTTAGCTATAGTTGACAAAACTAAGAATTTACCTTAATTTCGAAAATAGTATAAATTCAAACCAATTTGCATTAGTCAGAACTCAAAGGTATTGAGATGGGTAATTTCTCCAAGGTTTTAGGCAGATAACCTCAAGACAAAAGAAGCACTTTCCGATAGCAAATCAACTCTATGTAATCAATAAAAATCAATAATTGCGAGAATAAAACCTGGGACGCATAGTACACGATTGATAAAGAGTTAATCTAATCCAATAATTACTTGACCGAAGCTATTATAAATTGGCGGGGAAAAAATGCGTAAGTTGAGGAACAGCAACCTTGTGGTCGCGGCCAACACGCTATGAGTTGACTACAAAGAGAAAACTCGCTTGGCTGGCACACCCTATTCTAAATATCGAAATAAGTTAGTTCAAATGGATAGATAGATAGAGGCAGCTTGATATACTTTTTTAAGGAGATAGAAAGGTTCAAATCTCCCAGCTTATAAACTGAAAAAAATCAGATGGGAAAAACGATGATGATGATGATAATAATAATTTATCGAATTATCTGCGTAATCTGAATGGCTAACAGTGATAGTTCAAATTACGTCAACTCGGGGACAACTAAAGGCTGACTTCTCAATCAGAGTATTTCCATATGGTCATCTCTTTGATCTTAAATGAGGGTTACAAAGAAATTTGCCCCAAAGAATTGCACATAAAGCTGACGTGAAATAAATAAATAAATAGATCTCTCCACAATTTTCCTAATCTGTGGATCGCTACGATCAGTTCTGTAAGAGATTTACTACTAATTAGGGTATAGTTGCACAGACGTGTATGTCTGTGTACTTTACCCTAATACAGCTTCTCTAACCAGCATGTACATTAAACATTTCTGTTTCATCATTTTAGCTCAATCGAAAGCGAATCTAATTAACTCGAAACGAAGAGTGAAATTACTCTAAGTGTGTTAGCATTTCAATGAAGATAAGAAGGTTCTGATCAACATGATACTAGACTAGCACATTTTAGTTACAACTCACGATTTGAGCATTTCTTGGGAGCAAATTTACTTAACTAAATAGTGAAGCGAAATTTAAAAAAAAATTGTTGTAGAAAAGTGTGGACAAGACAAAAGTGGTAGCGTGTCCACTATTGCACTGAAAGTGGTATTGGACACGGGCTCAGTATCACGTGATGGTATTCAGTGACCACTTTGAGTCAAATCTAACTCCCCACTGATCAATGCTTCGTTCATTTGTAACGTTAAATAATAGATTCATCACTAAATACCCACTGGGAATTACTCTTGATTAAAGAAAGTATTGATCACAAAATGATTGCTAAATTTGGAGATACAGGTTCAGTCACTAACGCCAAACGCAACCACGTAGGAACTGTTTATTTACCGGAAATATTCAATGTTTTCACGAGACCCTGCTAATAAATTCACTCAAGTCAACAAGACATCTATCTCTACAACTAGGGAACAAGCGAATGTTAAGCCAGAATATGTTGAAGCACTCCCATATAGGAGTGTACAAAATAAGGATGATGCAGACATTGCAGCCTACGGCCTAAACTAAACGACAATGAGGAGTTGAAAGCAAACAATCATAGTTAATTTGCAGAGATCGCACCAACTGAATTGTCAAAACTGCTCCAAAATATGTTGAGACATTCTGAGTTGCGTAATGACGTTTATGGTGAACACTTTCAACAGTTGCTTTGAAGTATTGAGTGCTTAGCCTGTAGTTACTAGTAAAGCTCCGAACTTACTACTATTAAATATTATTTATTTATTTCAAATGACAGGCATTTTGATAGTTAT